GAGAGAGAGAGAGAGAGAGAGAGAGAGAGAGAGAGAGAGAGAGAGAGAGAGAGAGAGAGAGACGGATGGGGGGAAGGGAGGGTGAGGGAAGGAATCCAAACCCGGAGACGGAACAAAGGCAGAACAAGGGCGTTAATCAGTCACTGATCTGTATCGGACGCCTGGGGACGGGTTGAAGGGCCCGGCCGGAGGGGACGGTACGGTGCAACGAATCCTTCTGCCGCCCCCCCCCCTCTCTTTCCACCTCTCAGTTCTTCTCTCCCCTTTCCTCTCCCTCTCTCTCCTACTCCGCACACTCTCCCAAGAGTTGCGTCGAGAGGATAGCTCTGCCCGGTCTGTGACTCCCAACTACTGTACCCTTACCGCAGAAGAGATTTTCTGCCTGTGTGTGTGTGGTGTGTGTGTGTGCGTGTTAGGGAGAGAGGGGCAGAGACGGGCTTGATGCCGCTAGCTGGCAATGAATGTTCCCTCCGGGACTTCTCCAGGGCGGAGAGACTTGCGGCGGCCGATCTGGGGGCTGCTCGGGGGACGGGCCGACGGGCCGACGGGCCGTCGCCCCCACCCCGCAACGCGCCTCTGCCCCCCCCCCCTTTTTCTCTTTGGCTCCGCAAACCCTTTCCTTTTCCCCTCGAATGACTGGCTGGTTACCACCCTCTGCCTCTCACTGGCCCCACAGCATCCCTTGAGAGAGTGTAAGAAGGTCTCTCTCTCTCTCTCTCTCTCTTTCTCTCTCTCTCTCTCTCTCTCTCTCTCTCTCTCTCTCTCTCTCTCTCTTGATCCTCTCGACGCGGTGCGTGATAGTGCGTGGCTCCGTGGCACAAGTAGTGCGCCTTATCTCGCGATGGCCTCCGCCCTCTCGGACACGGATGCTCTGACTGCCTACATACTCTTCTGCGTCGTGGCCGTGGAGAGTAAGTGACTCTCCTCCTTATTGGAGACCCAGTCAAAGGTCATGCACACAACAAAAAACACACAAAATCCTTATGCATTCTGTTGTGCATAAGACTTGCAGGATTTCATGCAGCCATAGCTATGCACAGTTTTTCATGCATAAGTATGCAAAAATAACGCCACTATGCACAAATTTGTGCATAGTAATGCTGAAGTTTTACATAGTTATGCATGAAATTTGGTTCATAACTATGGCTGCTTACAGCTGTGCATGTTATGCACAACAAAGTACATAAGGGTTTAGTGTGAAGAGGATATGATCAGTAGAAGGTCGGGGAGAACGAAATGTTGAAGTTTGCTGTCACTGTCTTTTAGGGTCTTTTATCATTGTATGATATTGTTTGGCATTTCGGTATTTAGCAATCCATCTGTTTCCGCTTGCTCCGTGTTCAGTGTTCAGTGTAGGCTATAGTGCACTCTCTACGGCCGTGCTTCACGGATGGCGTGACCACCCGCGCCTAGTTGTCCCAATACAATGCGCGACGGTCGGTCGGGCCCCGCACGCCCCGCCCCACCCC